TCCCTGCATCCAGGAACAGCTTCACAGCACCCACGGCAAAGAGAGTCAACTCTTCCCTGCCTGAACCCAGCACACCTTGCAAAAGCTGGCTGACACCCAAAGTCACTACATGAGGTATTTCCCAGCACTCACTCACCTGGAGAGTCACCTAAACCTCATCTAACAACAAACCTGAACACCACCACCATTCCTCTGCGGATGCCAAGCACCAGCAGCAATAACCAACCCCGATCCACTCCCACAGTGACAAACTCACCCTTTTTTATTTGTTTATACTCAGCGCAGCCTTTTATTTTCACACGGAACTTAAAGAAAAACAAACTTCCCAAAGCCAGAATGTAAATATTGTCAAGCACACGTTCAGCTGCAGATGTATAAACAGAGCCATCTGAGAACCAAGCGCAGCTGGAGCTCACCAGCGCAAGGAAGAGGCTCCGTGCAGAGGCTCTCCCAACCGTACCATCGCCCCGGTCAGGGGTTGCGCACGCAGCACGCGAAGACACGACGACTTTTATTCACTGTACAGCTCCCTTTCCTTTCGGGGCCTGACTAGTGAGAGCCAATCGAGTTCAGATATTTCTGCTCAGGGCAGAACGCCCGGTGCCTGCCATCTGCACTTCTGAGATACTGATTATTTTGCTTGCAGAGATTTGAACAAACAGCAAGAGTTTTGACCTGTTTTTTTAAGCAAATTCATAGAATCATGGAATGGTTTGGGTTGGAAGGGACCTTAAAGATCATCCAGTTCCAACCCCCTGCCATGGGCAGGGACACCTTCCACTAGACCAGGCTGCTCCAAGCCTCATCCAGCCTGGCCTTGGACACTTCCAGGGATGGGGCATCCACAGCTTCTCTGGGCAACCTGTTCCAGTGCCTCAAATTCAGTGTTAAACCCTTAAAAATAAAGAAACAAGCTTCTGAAAATCCACTACAAGCAACAAAACGCTGTGAAATATTTCCCAGTACGCAAAAGCCTTTCTCCCAACAATGCAAAGGTCGCATCCACCTGGCACCGGAGCGTTTCCAACACGGAGAGCTCTCAGCTTTCCTCGTAGCGGGACAGAAAAGAAATACCTACTTGAAGCGGACCTTCTCGTCCATATCCACAGGCGGCTCATGTGTGATGAGGGTGACCAGCTCCTCCATGCAGTGCTGCTGGCAGAGGAAGTCCAGCAGCTTGCGGTTCTGAGCCTTGCACTCCTGTAAGATGTCATCTTCATCCATCAGCTCGTGAAGCGTCACATCTTCTTTATCCAGCAGCTTGTCCACGTGTGATGTTGTGTTCAAATCGAACTTCCAGAACATGTTGATGGGACACAACTAGCTGGAAAACAAAAGGATGTGAGTTAATCTTCCAGCTTTGCTATTTCTTCCTCTGCTGCGGTTCTGAGCGGAACACCTTGACAGAGCTGCCACCGCCTTGGGAACACCACTAACATCCTGTAAACAGGATCAACAACTTCTCACCCCAGAAAATGACTGAGATTGCAGCAGTGTCATCTCAGCAATGGACACAACGTACACTCGGATTCGCTGAAAGCAGCTTGAACTAAAACCCAAAGATGATGTTCCTGCACGGAGACGCTTTGCTGGATCTGAGCAACCTGGTCTAGTGGAAGGTGTCCCTGCCCATGGCAGGGGGGTTGGAACTGGATGATCTTTAAGGTCCCTTCCAACCCAAACCAGCCTGGGATTCTATGATTCTATGATTTGTATCTCAGAGTTGGGCTCATCAGCCAAACCCACAACAATCAACGATGATGTGGGTGGAAGGAAAGGCTTCCCTGTCTGCGTAACAGCAAGAGGAAAGTAGAGAAAGCTCTGGGGCCCCCAACAGAAGGACACGGAGCTGTTGGAGCGAGTCCAGAGGAGGCCCCGGAGATGCTCCGAGGGCTGGAGCCCCTCTGCCCTGGGGACAGGCTGGGGGAGTTGGGGGGTTCAGCCTGGAGAAGGGAAGCTCCGGGGAGACCTCAGAGCCCCTTCCAGTGCCTGGGGGGCTACAAGAAAGCTGGGGGGGGCTTTTCCCAAGGGCAGGGAGTGACAGGACAAGGGGTGACGGGTTCAACCAGGAAGAGGGAGCTGGAGATGGGCCATGGGGAAGGAATTCTTCCCGCAGAGGGTGGGAGCACTGGGACAGGTTCCCAGAGAAGCTGGGGATGCCCCATCCCGGGGAGTGTCCAAGGCCAGGCTGGATGAGGCTGGGAGCACCCTGGGCTATGGAAGGTGGCCCTGCCCGTGGCAGGGGGTGGGGCTGGTGGGGCTTTGAGGTCCCTTCAACCCAAACCATGCTGGGATTCCATCATAATCGGGAAGTTTTAAAAGAAACTCCTACTGGACACTGCGAACAGTGACACCACTGGCAAACCCAGAGCTGAACTAACAAATACAATCCTTGTGGAACGCTGGAACACGCTGTTCATCTCACAGACATCACAGAAGCTGTCAGGGGTCTCCTGAGGGGCAGAAGGGCGTCTGTTGGTTTTACACACAGAAAAGCACGTGTGACCCGCAGCCGTAGGATGTGCAGCTCTGCAGCTGGTGCCAGTGGGACCACGAACCTTCCCCGGAGAAGCCCAGCACGCGCCAACAGCACCATAGGGAGCAGATCCCTGGGCTGCACCGTTCGGAGGAAGTTCCCAAATTCAGAACTCTACCCTCACTGGGGTAAAAATACGGCTTAAAGACTCGTGGTTTACCCTGGGCAGTGAAAAATTCAGCTGTAAAATAGCAGCCAAATCCTATTCTTGACCATCTAAACCAGGCAATAAGTTATCTCCACACACCCACCTCTCAACCACATCTCCCTGCGACCTGGGACTGGGACTTACAGGTGTTTGCCAACACCAGAAATGCCAAAGGGATACTATAAATCAAAGCTACAAACAGGAATCGAAGGAATGGCCTCCTTTTCCTGCACGGCCTGGATCTCAAATCCTCCTAAGTGCCTGCTGAAGGGAAGCTCTCCTCACCATCACCTTCCTTCACGGGGCGTTTTGTACCATCCCACCTCAGTAACATTAAAAACGGCGGCACGGTTCTCTGCCCAAGCAGTGAAACTGAGACACGGCACAGAGCAACGATGACAAAGGGTTACAGACCAACCTGAGCTGGAGCCCAGTCCCACAAATGCACGCCTACCCCGGCTCCAGCTCTGCCCCTCCACGGCTCCCTGGCAGTGCTCGGGGTCCCTCCCAGACTCACTCAGGGGCTCAGACCGTGGCCCGCGACGTCCCCTCTGCGCCGCACTGCCCAGGCTCACGCGCCGCGAGTCAGACGAGGCTTCGCCGCTGCCACGCGCGCTGCTGGTGAGATTGTTCTCCTCAGAGAAACTTTGCCAAATGCAGCGCATTGCACTTCACATTACCCATCTGAATATCAGAAGGATATTGACCCCTTGGAGCGAGTCCAGAGGAGGCCACGAAGATGCTCAGAGGGCTGGAGCCCCTCTGCTATGACGAAAGGCTGCGAGAACTGGGCTTGTTCAGCCTGGAGAAGAGGAGGCTCCGAGGAGACCTCATTGCAGCTTTCCAGTACCTGAAGGGGCTACAAGGGTGCTGGGAGAGGACTTTTTACAAGGGCCTGTAGTGACAGGACAAGGGGGAACGGGTACAAATTGAAATCAGGGAGGTTTAGATTAGATATCAGGAAGCAATTCTTCCCAGAGAGGGTGGTGAAGCACTGGGACAGGTTGCCCAGAGAAGCTGTGGATGGCCCATCCCTGGGAGTGTCCAAGGCCAGGCTGGATGAGGCCTGGAGCAACCTGGTCTAGTGGAAGGTGTCCCTGCCCATGGCAGGGGGGTTGGAACTAGATGATCTTCAAGGTCCCTTCCGACCCAAACCATTCTGTGATTCTATGATTCTAATGAAAGGAAAAAACGGGCTTCTGCGGGAAGGAGGCCCGTGGAGAAGGGGCACTCGACCCCCAGGTCTGTACGCTACGGAGGTGGGAAGCAACAGGGGACCGCAAAGAGATGGCAGCGTGTCGTAGGCTACGGGCAAGGAGGAGGTTTCAGAAATAAACAATCATCAGTGTTCAAAAGAATAAGAGAGTAACTTGTATTTCACAGAATCCAGACCAGTTTGGGTTGAAGGGGCCTTAAAGCCCCCCCAGCCCCACCCCCTGGCACGGGCAGGGACACCTTCCCTAGCCCAGGGTGCTCCCAGCCTCATCCAGCCTGGCCTTGGACACTCCCAGGGATGGGGCATCCCCAGCTTCTCTGGGAACCTGTCCCAGTGCTCCCACCCTCTGCGGGAAGAATTCTTTCCCCATGGCCCATCTCCATCTCCCTCTCCCCGTTCAAACCCGTCACCCCTTGCCCCGGCATCTCCCGCTGACAAAGGTTCATCGCGGTAAGCGTAGCTCGAACAAGAGAGACGTCCGTGCAATAAAATCTTTCAGACAAACCACATTTTACAGACTGAAGTCAACTGGACGAGAGATGGGAAATGCGCTGCACCCCCGGATCATTTTGGTGCCAGCGGGTGATTTCATACACCAGGATCACGAGGCTTTTTTTAACCTAACCCACATCCCCGTTTCCGCAGCAGCAGGTTGCACTCGTTCCAACCATTCATTTGGCTTTCCCCAGCACCCAAAGACGTTACCGCGCCCGACGTTTTGTCGGTGCCGGTGCTTGAGGAACCGCATCCAAGGCTGCGTTTAAATGAGCCTTTTGAAAAACACACCGCAACCAACACCTCTGCTCCAGGAAGGCGGACGGAAGGAGAGGGGCACAGAAACACTGAGGCTGGA